CAGGGATAGTTTTCGCCTCCGTTTTATTTTTGCCCCTTTTCACCTTAGCTAGAATTTAAGACGGGGCAAATTCAAAGAAGACAGACAGGTATAATGTATTGAATCTGTGACTGGGTGAAATTAAAATGGTGCAAAATTGTTTCAAGTATAAAAGGGCGCAAAAATAACGGGTGAAAATAACCCCGTGTACTGTATTTGTTTTCCCTCTCTCTCTCTCTCTCTCTCTCTCTCTCTCTCTCTCGTATTTAACCCTACAACATGGAAAGAAATAATCACATAAATTATATTTTATGCTAAGAAAATAAAACTGTACTTTTAATATAAAGAATGAATGGTGTGCATGCAACTTTACATCAGCTCTTTGTTCGCAAAAAGTATGAAAAAGAATACCATCTGAGCAAGAAATGCCAGCGTCTTCACTATGATCACAGTCAGAGGGATATTTTGTTCCAGTGCACGATTGAATGGCGGCTTCAGCACCGTCGCACTGAACATTGTTTAAAAGAATCGGAATTGATCCTTGTCCACGGTAAGGAGATGTTTTTGCCTGAACATTTCTCCTAAAAAAGGCCAAATATAATAGATGAATAAATCACATTATTTTTTCTCCTTTTGCATAGAGATATGAATTATTATATACATGGACATGTATCCATATGTTTAATTGAAATGAAAAAGTAATGTGAATCCATGAAGACAATTACCCAATTTATGTACAGTGAGTGAATTTATTACACAAATATTGCACTACTTTTATAAAGTAAGGCACCCGCAACAATTAAAAAAGTTTGAAGTAATTAAATGATTCAGAATTCTTTTCTTGTATGAATATAAACAGATGGCTTTAAAATACAATAATTACAACCCCTTCCCCCATGATGATTTGATATTGTAGCATGAAGAAAGCTAAAAGTGGAGTAGATATTATAACAAACTACCTTCCACGGACCTTGACAGTTATCTGAGTATCATGAATATCTCAGGATATGGCCAGAAATATTTAATCGAGATAGACTTCTGACTGATATTTTGATGCCGCGGGGATTTCAACGACCTCATTTAAAGTCGACATTTCGCTAATTCTATGGTCATTATGATAATCTTGTTAGCAAACATAACCTATTATTGGGTCATTTAAGACCCAATTGATATAATTGTTTTAGACTAATTGTTTGGCCCTTTTTTATACTAAATTTGACTACGAAATATTCCGTCTACCTGATCAATACATAGGGCTCGTCGGATGTGACCGGTGGACAGAGGATGCTTACTCCTCCTAGACACCTAATCCCACCTCTGGAATTTCCAGGGGTCTGTGTTTTATGCCCTGCTCACAGATTTGTAATGTTTGTAGATTTATGTTCAGATCAATTAATGTTCGTTATCTTCATCTTTTTCATTATTCACTCTAATTTATCACTGAGGTTCTGTAGTAAAGAAAATAAGATACTGTGTATGATAAATTCCAAGACGACACTCTGGGCTTGAACCCAGGCTGAATCAATCTGTGTCTTCATACCGCATTTACAACAGCTTGCATCATTTCGAGCATAAAATATTTATTCGCAAATAGGGCTGAGATTTTATTCCTCCTAAAGTGCTTGCCTCAGCTCAATGGGGTGGCGTTTGAAATGGGATCTGGAAGTCAAATTTCTCGATCTATTTCCTCCCTTAATTGTCAAATATTGACAATTCTGGACTTAATGGTGACCATTATTTGTCCTTACGCTGTTAGTCACATGGAAATCTCAGCATTCCCTAGCAACGTGTGTACCTTTTATATGGAACGTGTCTGCTAAAGAATGGTCTGCACGCTTTGAGACCTGCCTCTATGATACTATTGCTTACCGTTTTCTGGCATTGCGACTTCTAGGAATATTTCTAGCAGTTTAACTTGCAGTTTGAAACCTGTTCCGTCGGAAAATTAAACGGATCTCTCTGTCCGGAATGCATGTTGACCTCTGAATACGTCCGCTTCTTGGACGGTCCTAACTCTTTTTGCTAACATGCATTTTAGCCGCTATACAGTAGATTGGAACACATTTAATTTTCAGCAAATTTACTTTGATGGTGTCTTTGTTTTAATAAGGCAATTACAAGACCTTTTAGAATTTCAATAAGCCATGCTATCAATCTGTTCAAATTCACACTGGACATTTTCAAAAAAATCACAAGGGATAAAAACTTGTTCAAGTCATACAAAATTCCTGTTACATGACTTTTAACCCGAAGCTCAATGGCAAATTACGTGTGCTTATGTCGAGCACGCCAGAGTCATGGTTGAGTGATTTTCTATCGCATATCCGTTTCTAGACATTATAATTCAAAAGCTATTTTAATCACGATTAGACGCAATTGTAGTAGATTGATAAAAATATGCGTTTCTTCTTCCTTTCAGTATGTATATTAAATCAACACACACTGTACATACTAGGACTTTTTCCTCGGTAAAATATACTTACTTCTTGAGTGGAACCATTGTAACAACTAATAAGTCTGTTGTCTATCAGATAGGGTTCTAAATATATTGAAGTAGCTAAATCTGTTTATGTCTTGGGTAGTTTGACCTTATACCTTGACCTTGTCACATTATAGCTTCTCCTCAGGGGAACTAGTGTACTTAGTTTGATGTCTGCCCAGCAAATGGTTCTCAAGATTTTGAGCGGTCAATTTATTCCTTTGCCCAATTTGATCGGTGACCTTTGACCTTGTGACCTCAAAATCGACATGGGTCATTTACTTTACAAGGTGTACCCTTGTACCAAGTTAAATGTCTGTCAAGGAAAGAGTTCTCAAGATATTGAGCGGACAACACTTGGTCTAGAGACTGACCAACCTGCAACCCAAACGACCGAAGGGAGCATAAAAATTATGATTAGTTTTTTTTCTCTTGTAAAAGAAACCGAAATATTCACATTGTTATTTTTTGATAATGCATAAATTAAATTTAGAGAAGAGCCCCTTTTTCAGTGAAGTAATCAGTTAACAACATGAGGAGGAGATTTTTAACCGACGAAAAAAAATTTCAATAGTAAATGATCTAATTGTTTGTTACATGTAACTGTCATTGGTCTTTGACAAAACAATTTTTTCGCCGTTTACGTTTTTATTCAACTCGTTATATTTCTCAATTGATTCTAGTTAGAAATTAGAGGGCAGCGAGTGAGAGAAAGAGAGAGAAAAATATATGGCTTAATTATAATTCGAAAGGAAACATAGCTCAATGAGCATCCGATGTCTCAGCAAATCTAAACCATTTACATAAGGGCTAATTTCTACTTACGTGGGTAGACCTAACTGTCGACATGCTACTCTTGCATCCGCTTTTCCAAACATGTCGTCACAAACCGTACCCCAGGAATCATTTTCATCAAGTTTGATCTCTAGACGACCATTTGTCCTGTTAGTACCATCTCGCAATCGGATTATACTCGATGTATTGGCTGAGGAAAATATTCGAAAAGTATTAGAGGGGGAAAAATGAATGAAAGGGTTGATTAATCAGTATTTAAAATTCTACTAAGAATATATATTGTAGGAAGCTAAAAATCTACCTACCACATACTACCCCTGCATCATCAGTGTGGTCACATGAAGTTCGAGTGAATGGACAATCTAACAAATTGATCTCATTTCCTTTACAAGCAACGTTGTTGACAGAAATGGGTCCAATTCCTTTTCCAAATGCAGCGTTTGTCTTTGCAATGCCATAACTACGATATCAAATAACAAATAATACTTTCCTCTAGCTATGAAAAACATACCAAACTCAAATTCAGTTAATATGATTTTTAAGCTTATCACAAAAACAAAACTTGAATACCATAAATATAAACAAAATCAGTTATTTTTAAAAGCCCAAATATAATTTCTTCAGAAATTATAAACTGACTTTCCGAGTCCCAGTTGCTTGCAGACTACTGTTGCATCACTATTATCCCAGTTCTCGGCACAGACTGTGGACCATATACCTTCAGTGACCACTTCTACTCTGCCCATTTTTGTTGAGTTTCCATTCACCAATCTAACATCTAACGGAGAAACATTCATATCACGTAATGTAGTAATTTTGTTTCTTTAACCGATTGATTTAAATTTAGCCTTTCTAAAAATGCACATGTATTGAAAAAAAATTAATTTCTGCAAAATAAAATTTGTTGCAAATTCAAACATTTTTAGAAAATTACTATGGAGGCAAGGTTTTCCATCATCATTGCACTGACAAGCAGTTCCGGTATATCCTGCTTTACAGTGACAAGCCCCAGTGGTTTTATCACAGGTTTGTGTGTGCATTCGGACACAGGCACATTTGACACAGTTTCGACCAAATGTCCAGTCTGAACAAACTGCCAAGTAAAATAAAATGTGCATGTAACAGTTTGTTTTGTGATCAGATTGTGCTTCTTTTTTAATAATTTCAATATAACATTTTACAACATTATAAGATTATTTTCTTACCACAACTGGACCCTGTAAGAATAATTCTGTCGATAGCAGTCTTCTCTTCCATTTTTATCTTTATCTATATAGTAAAAAAAACATTAATGTTATTTCCCATTAAGAATACAAACTGTTTCAAAAGTTAAAATCAGTCATTCACCAAAAGGCCCATGGACAACAATTTTAAGCTGAGTCGACGTCACATTAAACATGTTGTTCTTCTGAGGAAGATTTTTTTTAAAAAAAATTCACTTTTTTATTCACATAAAAATTTTAACCTAATATTGTGGCTCCACAATGACCTTAAATATCATAAATTGGATACCTAAAACATGGATATGTTTCAATATTATCATCACTAACACTGGTCTTCCTTTTTTGAAAAGTGTTAACGACTTTAGCGTAAAAGCTTAAGATAACGAACAGTGATCTCAAAAAATCAATAAACAATACAAATATGTAAAGAAGGCATAAAACATGGACCCCTGGGAATTTCATGAGGTGGGATCAGGGGCCTAGGAGAAGTGAGCATCCCTTGTTGTCACATCCACCCTGAGCCTCATGTATTGATTAGGTAGACGGATCTATCCGTAAACAATTCAGTACAAAAACAAAGGCCTAACAATTGGTAGGAAACGGACGACCCAATGATAGGTTACATTTGTTAAAAGGTTCATTGTAACGACCATAAAATGCTGACTTTAAACGATGCTGTTGAAATCCTTGTAAGATGAAATTATCAGTGAGTAGCCTGCCTCGCTTTAAAAATTGATCGTACTCAGAGCAAGCTCTTGAGTAGCGAATAAGTTGGGAGACATAAACACCATAAGCAGGTGATAATGGAATATATTTCTACTAGGAAAGTTGACGATGGAAAAGCTTAATTCATCTCGTTTGTCATACAATTTAGTTGTTAATTGGCCTTTATTGTCTATAGTCAGTAAAGTATCTTAATATGAAGCAGATGTTGCAAACTCTGTGGTGTCTTTTATTTTCAATGGGATATATCGAGTCGACATACGATTGAAAATAAGAATTTTCAATTGATAAAACATCGTGGATATATCTAAATGTCGAATTGAAGGCCACAGCTAGTGTTTTCCTCTTCTCGTGTAGAGTTTTTGAATAAATAACGTAATATTTGATCCCAGATATTTCCCCTCCTTAAATCACAAGGACCAACATTTGAAAAAAAAAAAGTGAATCCACAAAACTTCATTCGGGAATCGTTGCATATTGATACGATTTGGGGAACCTGCTACTTAAGAAACGAATTTGATAAAATATATATATTCTTATACATTCCTCTGTAATGGCCCAACCCCAACCCTACCAGTAGGGGGGGGGGGGGTTGGGGGGGGTTAAACAAATGGAATTGAATCTCAATACTTGAGGACAAAACCATTTTCGAGAATAATATTTTATACATTCCCATATTAAAATTGATCTAATTTTGTGGCCCCGAATTACGCTCTTGGGATATCATTTTAAAAATTTGTAATCAGCCAACGGGAACATCTTTGAAAAGTTGTCTCACAATATATTACCCTGTTAAACCTTGTTATCCTTAATTTGCCCTATGTCCCGAGGGCATTGATGAATCGGCATTAGCTTGGGATGCTTGCTTATAATTACGCTTTTTCACGGTCCTTATGTTCTAAAGAAGATTTTTATAGATTCTCTTGTGTATTTCAATGTAATCCTACCCCAGTGGGTTATGATTTTGACAAATTTGAAACAAATATCAGGAAGCTTTCACATGATTTTCAATATCTTCTGGTACAGTGGTTCTTGAAATGCCCCCTCAATATTATTGCCTATTATGACTATCTCTCCTATGAAACAGGAATGATACTTTATTAAATCAGGCTTGAAGTCCCTTTACTAAGGAATATTTAGTGCCACGTTTAATTGAAATTAGCAAATTGGTTCTGCGGAAAAAGTTGAAATTGTAATAAGATGATTATAAATAAATTTCTATCAGCTAAAAAAATTAATATATCTTACTTGATGTAGAGATTTTCCTCCATTTATCTGTATATTTTTGGTTGTCCAGTTTTGCTGAGTCCCAGTTAAATTTGCTATAGAAGATTCCGAGTACGAGCTGTCTATTGTAGATATAATTATCGACCCTCTTCCATATAGAAAGTAGTCAAAATGAAGACAAAATTGCTTTCCTGTTTAAAAAGTGCAAAATATTGAGTCACAAAATATGGCTTAAAAGCAAAATTTAAACATGAAAATATGCATTGCTGAAATGTATAACTAACCAAATGTCTACATATGTCTTTGTAAATAAACATTATATGCCTTGCACCTGTGATTTTTTTTACCCATACTTTGTACTTTTATTCCTTAAAGCTGAACACTACTCATAAATAGGCACCGTCACACAGGTATATAAACCTTTCGATTTCGTTACACCCGATTGCACACTCGAAACCTGTGGTCGAGATGAAGTATTTCTTCTGTGGTCTTGGATTTTATGCATTCATTCCTTGTTTTTATGTGCATTTTCTGTTTGTAAATAACGTATTGAGCTGTATATTTGATGTTACTTTTCTACTGGCTCGGACAAAATGCGTAAAATTTTATAATTTCATCGCTCGCCACCGAGAAACACAGCTTTGTAAGATGTACGGCTACACTCGTGAGACCTTTACAGCGAAATACTTGACTGTTTAGAGGGTCTGCAGCTTATATAGGGGTTGTCGGGATAGCGGCGATGAACCAGAAATATGCCGGACAATGCCTTTTACGAGTAGTGTTCAGCTTTAAAATGAACGTCATTGTCAGAAACAATTATGAAGAGATCATAAACTACATTTAGACAATGCACTAGGAAACATGCAGTTATCCAAAATGGATCAAATAAATAACAAACAAGAGGCCCCTAGACAACAATGTTCACCTGAGTTACTACGACCCTTCTTGTTCTTCATCAGCAGAATGATTTTTCTTCATAAATAATTATTCTTTGAATATCCCCTGTAGTCCCACTCTACCACCCCCCACCTCCACCCCACCCCAGGTGTCTATAGATTAGAACAGTCTTGAATCTACAGTACCAGAGGATGCTTCCATATACATATGGCTGATCCCTTTGCTGTTCTTGAAAAGATGTTTTCTAAAAAGAATTTTCCTATATACTCCTATGTAATACTTTCATTACCAATTGTGGTTCCACCCCCAGAACCGAGGAGTCATGACTTGAACAAAATTGAATCCATACCACCTGATAATGCTTTCGTAAAACCATATAAATATGACTTATCATGACTTTCATGGGGAAAAGATTTTCGAAGATTTTCCCTATGCATTTCTATATATAACTTTGACTGTCAATGGTGTCCCCACCCTAGCCTTATAAGCTTCAGCTCAAGTAAGCTAGTAAAAAGAGATGGGAGCAGGGATGTATGTGAAATTTTCAAAATTGTACATTAAACTTCTAAAATAACCGAAATGAAGTTACTTACGGTCTATATTCAACGTCATAATTACATCAGTAGAAGGTGAATCAATTAACAAAAAGCTTAAAAGTAAATCCCTTGCATCCTGATAGAGGTAATGTACGTCATCAGTTCCTGTTTCAGGTTTCCATCCTCTTCCGGAAATGGATACATACTGAAGAAAAGAATTATAAGTAGTATTGAGAAGATTATGTTACATTACGTATAAACCGTAACCAGAAACTGGTTATGTTATTTCTAGAAAGGTACTTCGTATAAGATATATATAATGATTGACCCGCTGAGACATAAGCCCTAAATCTTACGGCCTATTTTATTTCTGGTCTTCTTTGGTTGATTTGGCAATTAGTAAAATACATTATTTTTTGAAAATAGGATTTTTAGTTGAAAATATTGGAAACAAAAACAACTACACTACGACAAATTTATTAAAGTCTATATATTTCAATTTTACATGTTTAATTTGAATTTGAAAACCAATACATTCGAAATAATTCTGGGCCTTTGTGAAACGCTTCTGTTTGTCTAGTGTACTCTTGTAAACAGGTAGTGTGATTTACATAACTGAACGAATAAATTATCGCTAATAATTAGGAAAAAGTAGTAAATCGTAATTTTGAAAATTATTATTACTAAAGCTATTATAGCGGATAAAGAATAAAACATACATGCTTGATTGATTGTATGTTGTTTTATGTCCCGTTCGAGAATTTTTCACTCAAATAGAGACGTCTCAATATTAACAATAAGTACAGATGAAAATAAATCTGTATCTATATCGTGTACATTGTAGAACCTAATTATGTTATTTTACAACAGTGGAGAGTAGTACATGTATATATGTATGTTATTCAGAGATATATATATATATATATATATATATATATATATATATATATATATATATATATATATATATATATATATATATATATATATATATATATATATATATATATGAAGAACATACATGTACTATAAGATAAAGTTTAAATGCACTTACAGAGTGTCGGCGCAAGCGGTCATTTGAAGTTTCAAAGCTGCAGGTTTCTTTCCATGATTCCTTTTCGAAAGTGCAAAAGAAGATGACGTCTGACAAGTCTACACCAACATAAACAAAAACTTATGACATCTGCATGTTCATTAAATTGACAAAAAAGTTACGAAAATAAAATTAGTGAGGAAAAATCCACAACAGATATCATACGTTGTTTAACTGCTAATTTCATAGGAGACCTTAGGGCGGCATTGTCGGTGCAAAATCAAATAATCAACATCAAATTGGATTCTTTAACATAACGTTTTATATCAATGAACAAAAAAAGTGAGTTTATTTTTTAAATCAATAATTTGATTTTTACTAAAAATTCAATATTCAATCTCAAACAAGAGGCCCAAGGGCCTTAACGGTCACCTGAGTATAATACAACAATTTAGAGGATCCATAGAGTATAAAATGAACTGAAAGGTGAAGCTTTGTTGCCCAAAAGCAAGAAAAATAGGGTGATCAGGATTAACAAAATAATTAGTCTAGTATTCATTAAAAGTTCATAAATTGGGTTCTAATCTGTTCCCCATTTATCACTCTCACCAGACAGTATATTAAGAAACTATCAGTGCTTCTGTACTCTTTTAATTCCTTGTGGAAATCTCTTACATTGGCCTGAGTAAGACTTTTGGTCTTTGATGAACATTTAAGGTACTGGTATTCCATCCCTAATAGCCTCAGATTCAATGAATTTGAATACATAACAGATGTGTACGGGTGGAATACTCAGAATATTTAGACATAATCTACATTTATTACTATTAGCAGTAAAGAATGGAAGTGTCCTAATTTATGACTTGACCTTTGTTGAAGAGTTATCTCCCTCTTTTTTTAAGTAATAAAAATCAATTTTAAAAAAATATACGGTAAAAAAATTGTTTTCACAATTTTGGTAGAGTCACTCTTGCTCATCATAACTATGTATTCAATTTGTTTCAATAATACCCAGGAGTAGAGAAGAAGATTTTCAAAGAAATAATGCATTTTCATTATATAATCAAAAGAGCCCCGCCCTAGCACCAGAACCCCTGACCCAGGGGCCATGAATTTCACAATTTTGGTAGAGTCACTCTTGCTCATCATAACTATGTATTCAATTTGTTTCAATAATACCCAGGAGTAGAGAAGAAGATTTTCAAAGAAATAATGCACTTTCACTATATGATCTATATAGCCCCGCCCTAACACCAGAACCCCTGACCCTGGGGCCATGAATTTCACAATTTTGGTAGAGTCACTCTTGCTTATCATAACTATGTACTCAATTTGTTTCAATAATACCCAGGAGTAGAGAAGAAGATTTTCAAAGAAATAATGCACTTTCACTATATGTTATATATAGCCCCGCCCTAACACCAGAACACCTGACCCAGGGGCCATGAATTTCACAATTTTGGTAGAGTCACTCTTGCTCATCATAACTATGTATTCAATTTGTTTCAATAATACCCAGGAGTAGAGAAGAAGATTTTCAAAGAAATAATGCACTTTCACTATATGATCTATATAGCCCCGCCCTAGCACCAGAACCCCTGACCCTGGGGCCATGAATTTCATAATTTTGGTAGAGGGCTCAATGCTTATTACAATCATGCCAACAGTTTGACTGCTTGATGTCCAGGAGTAAAGAAGAAGATTTTTAAAGATTGCATTAATTTTGATGGTTTTGGCCCCACCCCTCAGGCCCCAGGGGGCCAGGGGCCACGAATTTCACAATTTTTGTTCTTCTTCACCCATAGATGCTATATGCCAAAATTGGTTGAAATTGGTTCACTGGTTCCAGAGAAGAAGCTGAAAATGTTCAAAAGTTTACGACTGTCGAACGACGACGGACGAAAAAAAATAGCAATAGGTCACCTGAGTGACTCAGGTGACCTAAAAATTTTGTAAAAGCATCCTTGTTCATCATAACTATACACTTGTTTCTTTGCTTTATAACCAGGAGTAGAAAAAATATTTTGAAAGAAATTATGAATTTTCACTATATAATCAGTAGAGCCACCCCCCCCCCCCTTTCACAAGAACCCCTGACCCTGGGGCCATGAATTTCACAATTTTGGAAGAGGCATTTTTGCTTATCATAACCATGCAATTCCTTTGTTTAAATAATACCCAGGAGCAGAGAAGATTTTCAAAGAATTGATGCATTTTCACTATATAATCAATAGAGCCCCACCCTAACAGCAGAACCCCTGATTCAGGGGCCATGAAATTCACAATTTCTGAAGAGGCACTCTTGCTCATCATAACTATGTTTTTAGTTAATTTCTTTAATACCCATAAGCAGAGAAGAAGATATTCAAAGAAATAATGCATTTTCACTATATAATCAATAACCCCCCCCCCCTTCACCAAAACCCCTGACCCAGGGGCAATGAAATTCAAAATTTCTGAAGAGGCACTCTTGCTCATCATAACTATGTACTTAGTTAGTTTATTTAATACCCATAAGCAGAGAAGAAGATTTTCAAAGAAATAATGCATTTTCACTATATAATCAATAGAGCCCCCCCCTTTCACCAGAACCCCTGACCCAGGGGCCATGAAATTCACAATTTTGGAAGGGGCATTCTTGCTTATCATAACTGTTTACTTAGTTAGTTTATTTTATACCCAGGAGCAGAGAAGAAGATTTTTGAAGAAATAATGCACTTTTACTATATGATCTATATAGCCCCACCCTAGCCCCAGAACCCCTTACCCTGGGGCCATGAATTTCACAATTTTGGTAGAGGGCTCAATACTTATTACAATCATTCTAACAGTTTGACTGCTTGATGTCCAGGAGTAAAGAAGAAGATTTTTAAAGATTGCATTAATTTTAGTGGTTTTTGCCCCACCCCTCAGGCCCCAGGGGGGCAGGGACCATGAAATTCACAAATTTTGTCCCCCTTCACCCATAGATGTTATATGCCAAATTTGGTTGAAATTGGTTGAGCGGTTTCAGAGAAGAAGCTGAAAATGTTCAAATGTTAACGCACAACGCACGACGCACGACGCACGACGCACGCCGACGGACGAAAACGGATAGCAATAGGTCACCTGAGTGACTCAGGTGACCTAAAAATAAATAAATAAAAAATAAAAATTGGCAGTCTATTTAACTAGGCAATCAAAGAGTTCCCAACAATGATAATATAAGTTTATATGTTATGCAAAAACAAAATGCTCACGATAAACTTTATAAAAACTTCTTTTCTTTTTTTTTCTTTTCTTTTTTAATTAGATTTTTTGGGAATTCAGAAAATTGTCAAAGCAGATTATTTAGCCTGCGCAATTCTACAAAATATTTGTAAATATGATTGTTCCACATTGATGTCATTTCTAAATTGAAATTTTCAGTTTATTATAAATAGCTCAGTAATATCAAAAATAATACAAACAAACAAATGAGGGATACTACAATCGAATGTAGAAATATACTTTTGACACTTATCTGTTAATGAGATAAAAAGAAAGATTGATATACAACTAAAAATAACAAACTTGCTGAAATGTCGTATATATATAAAGTAGTTCTAAGTTAGTACCCTTGTGGCATTTTTTTTACTGTGTTTTTTTCTGTAAATTTTGTCCAAAACATAACTCTTACTATACCTGAACAAGATGCCGATTCATTAAAGTGTAGTGATTTAGATTTTTATTTCATAGCCATCGTTTCGTAAATAATATTTTACAAGTATTTGCTGATATTTCAGTCAGATTATTCTATTTATCATTTGTTTTCAGTTGTTACTTACGTAAAACCCCTTTATTATGTGTCTGTTATAAGTTAGGACATGTGTTGACATTCCACATGTTTTACTTTTTAAACAGGAAGTGTCATCCATGTTGGCAGTCTTTCCGTAGTACTTTTGATAGCTGTGTTCTGATTGGTTAACTTAGCTTTAGGATCTTTGATAGTCATTGGTTTTTATTTTGGACCTTGCTAGGGTATTTAAACCCGTGTTCGAGCAGTTTACTTCACTTGGTTAGGGATAAGCCTCATGGCTCATTACCTCTGATTTTATGCCAACCTCAAGGTACACGGCATTATAGGTTTCATTTAGCACGTGCTGAGCGAGCACTTTATGATAGGTTAGATGTAGGTTTTATAGAATAAAGTTATATGATAGGTTAGGATGTAGTTTATTTAAAGTAAATTAAGTTTCCCTTTCCAAGTCCTGCCTGGTCTAGGGATATGTAGATAACAGGTATAATTCCTAGAACCACTATTTACTATTTATTATTTATTTTGGGTGTTGTTTATTTTCTGGGTCAGTTATTTTTAGAACCTAGAATTAGCATTGATATTTTCAGTTCAACTCTAGAGTGTTGATAGTAGTCATATTGGGTGATGTAGCTCATTCCTTTTACACTTTTCTAATTCATTCATTTTATAGGATTTTGACAACTTTCATAAGTATGGAAGCCCAGTAGGGACATAAATTATTTTGTTCATAGTTTTTCCACATTCCTCCCATTTTCTATTACATTTTTCAATTACTTATTTATTTATTGAGATTATTCATTGAGATTATTGTGAATCACCTACCAGATTAAGTTATATTTTTGATAAAACTATTTATTCCTGTGCAATTTTGAAAGACTTTTCTGTTTGTTAAATTTTGACTATTATTTATTATTTGTTATCATTTACAAAGGTTAATTCTCACTCTATTAAATTTATAAAACTTACAACTGTGTTTTCATTTAGCGTTGATCATAGTTCAGATATCCCCTTACCTGGGTTGACAATCATAACTGGAGGCAGTTTGCTGCTTTAAGCCAAGTTGGCTATTAACTTTGTTAAGTTATTCATTAAAGAGTTCTGCTTCCGGTTACAAAAGGATCCTTCTTTGCAGATGCACCTGTCATATTTACATTTAGAATACGATCCCGAGCATGGAGTTGTGGATACATGACAGCTACAGTCATCCCCTGTAAAACCGTCACGACAAGAACAGGTTCCGTCTCTAAAATCACACACAGTACTTGTTTCCCTGTTACAATCACATGACTTTGAACAGTCTTCTGAATATCTCCAGTCTGGGCAATCTACAATTTAAGATTTAATTTTCAAAATCGTATCACACTTGAAATTGTTAAAGTTTCTTTTTCCATGTTTTATGTCCAACTTCTCTTTGAAATTAAATTAAAATTGAATAAAATGCCAGTAACCTTTTTTATGGAACAAACAGGGTATTATTAGTTACATAGTTTTGTAGTGACAGGGTACGGGATGATACCTGGTTAGTAAATTTCATACCTGGCGAGGCGAAGCCGAGCCAGGTATGAAATTTACTAACCAGGTATCATCCTGTACCCTGTCACTACAAAACTATGTAACGAATTTACCCCACCGATGAAATATTTATGTATTGTCTGTGGCTTGTAAAATTGTTTTTCTCCGCTATATGTTTCATCACTCATACAATGCCTATTATGACGTCACGTGGTGTTACGTAATGTTGTTTTGCGAGTGTTTCATAACGTACTGACAGTATTGTTTCGAAGACTTTCAGTAAAGTGAGAAAAAGGTTATATCTCGTTACTTACTTTGATTAACTTTTTACTTATCAACAGATACCCGCGAACCTCGTGCATTTGAGTTGCTTGAAGTGTTACAAAAGAACGATAACTCCGCATCAACCATGTATTGATTTTCAAGCGACTAGGTATAAGTAATACACCCCCTTCACGTGACAGACTTCAACCAATCGTAAGCCAGGATTTCATCGAAAAATCATCAGAGGTGGTGTAAAAGTAGATTTTAAATGTACTGCATAATAAAGTTTTTTCATAAGGTTTTACAACTTCTAGCATATATTCTTTCCAACTGTTAACATAATTATGTTATAAAATAAAACTCGGACCTCTTAAAGCTTTAACGATTTTAAGAATCCTCCACAAATTGAAAACTGTTTTATGGCCACATGCTCCCCCGAAGACCAAGGATCGAGGAGAATTACGCCAATTTGATTTTTGAAATTTCTAAATCAATGGTTATTGAAAAGTAGAAGATTGAATGACTGGAACATATTTCTATTTTAACTTCCTATTTCCAACGTGTCCTCAAAGGTACTCGATCCTTCATTTGAACCGATTGAAATCCTCGTTTTATAGGTGATGCTTGCGATTACTTAAGCTAAATGCGATTTTGGAAGAAAGGTCAAGAAAGGAGACCAGAAATCTTGTTTTAGAAATACATAATAAATATATCAACTTTTAACATTCTAAATATCTGACGTTTCTTTATTGCCTCAAAATTAAAAGGGTATAACAGACACATCTTTGAGCAGCAAGACCGATAATGGGAAAATTTGATTTCAAAGTGTCACTATATTATACAGAAAAACTACATTCATTTAAAAAAAATTCTCCCTTTAAATATATGAAATGTGAGACTGACCGCCACAGTGGATGACTGGACTGTAGGGGCAGAAGGAATCCATTCTAGAAGGACATTCCGACAGTATGTCCTCTGTTCCTGTACAATTGACCGACTTCTTGGTGTATCTATAATTGTGATGCTTTGAAGTTGAATATATTGCTTCCCTGTAAAAATAAATAAATGTATTCCCTTAAATAACAGTGCATTTAGCAGTAGTACAGAACAAATAATCATCAAGCGCTAAACATAACCCACCATCACCACCAACCACCCCCTTTCCTGTGGTCATACACTTTACTAAGAACAAAGCAATTCAGATTGAAAGGTAATAAATAAACAGAATTGTTTAAATAAAAGATATAATAAATTTTATATGAGACTGATCATGAAAAACACAATGATATTGATAAAAAATTGTGTCTTAAATGTGTCTTTAAAATACGTACGTGCTTTTGTTTAGATGACGGCAAATTACCCGAGCATTTTCCTTAAGATTGGTATTACAGATGACATCCCATCTGTCGCCTTCGAAGACTTGCACGATACCATCGGAGTTTATTCGCACATTGTCTATGACAAAAAGATCATGCAATATGAAATAAAGGTATATTAAAATGAAGGTGCCGTTTGTAGTACTATATAAAAAGAATTAGGGATGAAAACTTATCAACAAAAAATCAAGTGTCCATGAAAAACACGTGCCTTTCTTTCAATTTTTTCCTATGTAGTAAATATGAAGTCATAGGTGTCAAATATAATCGTACTTCATAAAAATATTGACAGATGGACAATCAGATAAACGTTCATGGAGACCTCATGTGTGGAATTTATTAATTTTCATTTCGTATCTGTTTATAAAATACAGATATGGGTAAATATTGTGAAAAGTTGAAACTACAGTATACAAAATTGCTAACAAACTATCACAGAAAATTAACGTTTACCTTTCCAAAACTTATTTATGCTATTTTTGTTTATTGTGTATACTAGTGCACTTTTGTATCGAAAATTTGTGACAACTGGAAGTGTGGTGGACCGGGAACGGATGGCAAAACACTGAACTACTTTTAGTCGATATGATAGACATATCGCTCTACATCATTTTCGGAGATATTGGTACAACCACTGCTGCAACCTCCCTGACCACATCCACTAACCACCATTTTCATATCAGTACACAAACGGTGACCATTCAGCTTCGAAAAATGTTTAATGTGTGGAAAGAAGGCACTTGAAGGTTTTGTTTTCACTAAAAGACAATTCCAAATTTGGATGCTTTTGGCAAAATAGCATGTCAAATTTCTTTGTGCCGATCAGACAAATGTACTACATATATACAGATGAGAATATTGAGTTGTGGGCTAGCAATTTTGTCTAATGTAAATTATAGTAAACCAGAACATGACCACACAAATCAAATCCTAAAATTTCCTCATGTGAAACTGAAATGTGATTGTTTGTTAAACATGGAAATATGTTATTAAAAATGCTAAGCTCAGTTTGTCATTTAACTATTCAATGATACAATTTTATTCGAATTGAGACTTCTTTGTCATAAAGGCATCATTTGTGAATAATTTATTTTATTAAGTGGCCTAATCATCAAATACTTACATTTCCAAATATTTTTCCTTAAGGCCAAAATAAAAAATACCTTTGTTTCCCCTAACGCGACCGACCCAATTAAATCCCGTCGACTAAAACAATTTTTTTAGAAGATTATTCAATTTTTTTTATGTTTATCAACTTTTATAAAATACAATTTCACCAAAACCCGTTCTTATCAGAAATTCAGAATGTATGTTAAAAAAGGTGCTGTCAGAAAAAAAAATTATTTACCTATCTACCTACCCAACTTCAGATTCTAGGGTCGGGTTAGGGGAAACAAAGATATTTTTAATGATGGCCTAAGATTCTTTGCATATATTGGAAAAAAGTTCACGTTCTCATGAACTACCGTGGGATGAGTAAGAATCTTTACATTGTGATGAAATGAAGTAAAAAAAAAATAGTGCAAACGTGTTTTTTTTTTTCAAAAATGATCTTGAATGACAAAAATATATGGCAAGTCATCAGAAAAATAATATATTTATATTATACGAATTTAATTTTTTAGAATTCATGAGTACATGAACTACAACGCTTCACGCCTGCATATTTATCATGAAGCGCTAACACGTTCATGAAATATGCAGGCATGAAGTGTCGTAGTTCATGTCCCCATGAATTCTCAACAATTAAATTCATCTCTTAAATAAAGGCCCCTAGAAGATACTGTACTTTTCAGTGCCTCTGTTTTGATTAATAACTATTGTGTGAATTAAGGATTCAGAAAGATTAGTGAGCATTCTATTTTCAAATGATTTTGTACAAGTTAATGATGAAGGATTTTTATATATTTTCATTTTTTTTTTTTTGTAAAGAATTAGACATTTTTCTTACCTGTACAGTTGTTCTTCGAATTCGTAAAACCATTCTTACAAATGCAGAATACTTCACTCGATTCTTCGTAGCAATCAGAAACGGTTGTGTTACAGGTATGAGAACCAGTTTGGCAGTTGCAGGAAAACCCGGTATACCCTGGCTTACACACGCACTCTCCAGATTCCATATCGCAAGATTCGGTATTAATTCTATCACATGGACAGTCTACCTTGCAGTTGTCTCCGTATGTCATATGAGCACAAACTAAAAGATGATGAATTTAACAAACATGTATCAAATTCATCATAAATTCTTTAAAATTAACAATTGACCAATGAGGTCAATAATGCTAGTATTTTTCTTAGAAGTCTTGTGATAATAAAAAATTAATATTTTTGTAAAGTAGGTCACAGGTTAACATCAGGATCACAACGTCAGGTACCTTTTATTTCGCAAAAAACAAGCATTTAATGCCTAATTTTTACATGTCAGTGCTAGAATACATAAGCAGTAAAAATGTCAGAATTTCATAATCATCCCATGAATACAAAATCAGTTCAAATACCAGTATTTATATAAGAATCATGTAGCAAAAGGCTCAAAGGAAATATTATTGTTAAAGAAACCAGCTAAACCAACATTTTGTTTCTAATACATTCGAGATATTAAAAAAAATACTTTCGTGCTTCAACTAGATTTACAATTATGGATTTTTTTTGTCTCCAACCAATGAGTGCATTTGTACGAGAAATACAAACTAATTTAGTAATCAAACGATATTCGCAGTAGTGATTTGTTCTCTCCATTTAATAGAAATATAAGAAAAGCATATTATTTTTGTCTTGTCTTACCACTATCACAGCTGATCTCTACCCTGTTCCCAAAACTGGGACATTTACTCCCAATGTCAGCAGAACAGTCGGACAAGCGCTCTTCATCACCTCTACAATCCACATTCATCAGGTGTGGTTTGCCAATTGTAGCCCTACTGAACCATGATGTCTTTTTCACATATTTCCTGGTTTAAAAATATTTTTATTTTTTTAAAAACTTTATTAGTAACAACTCTTGCAAAGAAATCTTACAAATAAAGCTATGATTCACTTTGTTCTACCCAATATCAATGCTTCTCATCATACAACAACGATTATTATAATGATTGCATATATGTATTTATGGGTTCGCTTAAATTATTTGGTAAATTCTTGGATCCTCTTCCTGGCCGATGTTTCAATATCTGCCATCTAATGATGGGATAAGTCACGTGGTCAGCTTAGAGAGTAAGCTGTATTTTGATACCTGCACGCTGAGCACCGCTTACAGGAGGCACATCTACGTAGAAGACCCATCACCATCCCAGCGATATACATGCTCAAGTACCAATCTTGTTCTTTATGTATCAGGTGTAGTTTTTTTTCTTAATCAAGAACTCTGTTTTGATGTGCCATGTTTTGGGTTTTTTCATATTTTGATCGTCTTGCTTCATAAGTCCTTTTTTTCTGTCATTTCGGGGTATCAATCGGAGCTTTTGAGTCTGATTCTTTAATTTCTTGTGTGTTAAATTTTTAACATTTTTATCGTTATTTTAATCAATAAGGTAATTTATTTCCAAAAAAATGTTTTACCTGGTTTGGAAAAAAAAAATAGCAAAAACGAACTGCCGTAAGATATAAATCGCATCTCTGATGTTTTTAGAGGTCCATGTTTGCTCTGCTCACAATTTATATTGCTTCAATGGACTTTGAGCTTGATTACTGTTCGTTACCTCCATATTTTATCATAAAGTTCCACATTATTTTGATAGTAAATATGATGTTCTTCCTCAGTATATATACCTATTTTTACCAACAAAATTACCTATAAATTTGTTAGTTATGAAATGGCATACTTACATTCCGAAACATTCGAAAGAAAGAACTACTTTCTAAAGCTGTTAATGTTTATAAGATTACATACATGCTACATTTTGTACCTTCACATAATTTATGATGTCGGTCTTGTACTTCATTGTACATTGGAAATGAATATTAAAACAAAATGTATTGAGAAAACCCCTTACGTTGGCAACCCCAGTTCTAGGCAGGCTACTTTGGCATCATCCTCTTCAAATCCACTTTCACAAACATAACCCCATTCTTTATTGTGATAAATTTGAAGAGTTCCTCTGGTTTGTGTACTACTAGTTTGTTTCCCAGTTAATCGTATCCATGGTTCTAGCATGAGGAGAAATTGAAATGAAAATGTTATATACATGTTAAACGTCAAAAAGAGCAATTCTTAATTAAAATATGTAAGAATCACGTTATTTAAGAGACATACAGAAGATACAGGTGGCGCATGGGCCTATGTAGTTACTTGACTATTATGGATATTCAACGAACTGCCTGAAAGTAATCTATACAATTATCATGCAAAACCTCTACCTGTTGCTTATTGTAGCTTGTATCAATATACAATGCATGTACCATAGTCTTATCCGTATGTGTTGCAATGTGTCGATTTATTCTGATACACTTAAATATCAAATGAGCTGATTGTTTCGTGTCACTATTTTATTTTAAGATTGGTTGAAGTTTTAGGTTCCCATTCGAGATTTTTTCGCTCATATAGAGATGCCATCATATACCGGTGAAGGGCTTCAAATTTAGACCTCTACTCGGCACTCATGGCCATTGAGCAGTGAGGATTCTTTATCGTGCCAACGCCTACCGTGACAAAAGACCTCGTTTTTAAGGTTTTTAAGGTTTCATCCGAATGAGTGACTCACTTCTAATGCCGGGCGCTTGGCAAAGGAACAGTCACTACCTATGTTTACGTCTTAGATTTGACGCGGCGCGGCGAACAAGAATTGAACCCGGGCCTCCCGATCACGAAGAGTACGCCTCATCCCTTATGTTTGTCTGTCAAGTATATGTTTAGCCTTCGGGGGAGGGGAGGGGGCTTAAACATCTATTTCTGTCGTAAAAAAGTACCCGGATGTTACTTCAAGGAATATCCTGCTACTGTGTAGCCTTCAGAGTCTTGATCAAACCATCATAGTTTTAGTCAATAGAACACAATTTAATGAGATGAAAAATTATGGATGAATATTCAAACAATATAATTCTGTAAATATTTTCACATTACCATTTGGACATGCTATTGTTGCAGGTTGTCCTTTGTAACAATACGCGCTGCTGTCATATTCTCTTTCACAGTCCAGGAGACTTTGTTCTGTTCCATTGCAATTAATATCAGACCATTTGAAGTAGGAACTTGGTACCGTGATTATTTTTCTAATTTTTTGTGCATAATTCCTGAAAGACGATCATAAGTTTTCACAGTACATTATTTGAAACTCAATTTTCTGAAAAGTAAGACAAAGGTCAAAACGAGCAAAATTAATGATATTGGTCATGGACTTTACAATTAAAATTTCTAAATAAAATTGATTTTTTTTTTCTTTGGATCATTTTAAGATAGGAACTAAAAGAGAGACAAAATAGAGTGCAATTTTCCTCACATATTATTACTGGGTACCGTACAGCGGGTTTCTTCGGCGTATGTAAAATTTGGAGTTTTGCTTGCTCAAAGGTAAGCCGATAATTTTGAGGGAACTTTTTTTGGCGGACACGGAGTTTCATGACTTTGCAAAAAAGACGAAATTTGACTTTTAGATGAGTTTCAATACTCTAAATATACGTTTGAATACTAATTTACACAAGAGTTTGAGCAAACTACAATACCAGTTGAAAGATATAAAGAGACTGATTAAAGTTATTTTCTTGTATTCGGTACTTATAAGCAAGAGTGCAAATTTAGCTATTAAAAATTTAGCGGTCTATTACAAAACCGCTAAAATAAGCCAAAGTTAACACCCCGCTAAAAATTCCCGCTATACGGTATATAGTAATACTATACATGTGTATGAATAATAAAGATCATTGTTTTTTCGGCATTTTTCAAGAAATATCTTTCTTTATTTTACAAAGTAGAAATTTAAAAAACATACCACGGCAAACCAAATTCTCGACACACGACTTGGGCATCCTTTTTAGTCATTCCATTCTTGCACACCCCTCCCCAGGAACCAGATCCGTATATTTCAACCACTCCTTCATTGGAAGATGTCCGATTGATGAACCGTACGTATTCCTCTATTTAAATACGATAAACATTCGATGAAAATCTAAGTATATTGCATATCAAATAATTTTTAAGTTGTTTGCTCTAGAATACATGCACATACTTAGACATTTTTCATTTTGATATTTGCTATCTGTAAATCCAGGCTTGCAGAGACAGATTGCATTGTCCGAGCTGTTCCTGTGGCAGATTGATATCTTTGGATCGCAGATGTGTACACCAGTTATACAATTACAAAAGTCACCGAAGTATTCTGGTCTACAAGAACATTTCCCCGTGTCCTCATCACACGAGAAACTGTTAGTTTGGTTGCACTCACACAGTTTCTCACACTTAGACACTAGGAAAGAAAAATTAACAGGGAAGTTGTAATTTGTAAAGTGAAAATTGCAATATGCATATTGAGATATGTAAAAAGGAAAGATGTTTGTCGCTGTACATATTGGAAATTCTACATATAATTAGCGAAATATACATTTGGAGTTACTTACGTTAGTAACTCCAAATGTATATTTAACACAGGAAAATGTGTGGGATTAACAAGAAGAAAAATTCCATTCTTTGGGCTCTACTTAGAGCCCAAAGATTGGGATGTTTCCTCCTATACTTATCCCATACATTTTCCTGTGTTAAATGATTTTTCCTTTATTCGTAACATATTTTTCATGTATGCTTTCTATTTCTTATTCCATACCACCTGATCCCATCAGTCTGTTTTCAGAGGTCTGTGATGGCTCCTCTAACAATTGTATTGTTTAAATGGACTTTTGAGCATGATCACTGTTTGTTATGTTCACATTCACATTTCAATTTATTATAAAAAATGCATTTGCTGCATATTTTTTTTCTTTAAATGAATGACTTGAATCTAAATACAAGGTGAAAACGACCAATTGGTAGGACATATTATGCTGTAAACTTTATAATTATATGTAAAGTATGTCCAATTTTTATAAACCCTTCCTCAATGTTAACTGACTATTTATTTCAGATGTTTGTAATTAGACCGACATTTTTTTTTTTTTTTTTTTTTGATATTTACTATCAGATCATTAAAAAATAATTCCCGTTTATCAAATGTGGCCCCACTGAAGATACATCCGCCCACTTTACGAAGATAAAACTTAGCTAAAGTAAATACTGATATAAATATTCCCTTCCTGGTTTTATAAATGTACAACAAAATACTTAAATTTTGCACCTTATTAAAGATGCATAAATAAAGAGTTCTTAATTCTTCATCTTTTTTTTGGGGGGGGGGGGGATCTGTCAGACTCCTTTGTTGGTGATGTAAGCGATTGCAGATTAGAAGTAATGAATAATGCTGCGCAAGTATTAAATTTTTTCGATATTTTTAAGAAATGTATGCTGCGTTTGACACTTACTTTGCTTTCATTCTTCCCAGAAAAAGATATTGTATGTATAATTTTTTTTAGCATTTCTATCAGAAAATATTAGAAATAGAGCTTTTAGTTTGCTCCATCTTTTTTTTTTTATCTAAATGAACTATTTTTAGTTGCAGTTTCGGGGTTCTCCATCATTTCAGATTTAACTGTGGCGCAAGATTTACGCGATGTTCTTATAGTCATTTCGCGACCGCATTCGCGAAGAAATCACAAAATAAATTGAAAAACACTCTGCCCCTATGAATTAACAGATTAATACACAAATTAAATAATGGCATTAACTAATTTGAAAAATGATTGATATATTCAGTAATAAAAACAATTAATTAAT